TAGCCATTTTTTTGTTGACACTTTTTTTTAACTAATCTAAAAGACTAATTTTGTGTATTGTTTAAATTTTACTTTTTTGTACTCAATTTGTTTTAGGTTTAAACAAAATGAACTTCTAAGATATGCATGGAATATCCCAAAAGAGCTAAGGAAGGTTTTAAAATTCTTAAGAAAACTATTCAGAGCCAAAAACATAAAATAGTCTTCCTGTCCAAAATATAAATAGGTATAAATATTTAGATACTATGAGTGACTTTTTATTCTATAAATAGAACATAATTTGCTTTTAAATCACTACCTAATGAACTATATTATATAGTACAAAACTAAACAAGAGTATCACTTTATTCGTTTTTATTAATTTCCTTAAAAAACTTCCCAAAAAAATGTGAATATTTATTATTGGAGTTTACATCGTTATGCTAAAACAATACTAGAACAACTTAAATAATGTGGATTTTGACTATTTTGAGTTATGCAGATCATTATGATCTGAAAAACTGTTTGTCTGGTGCTCTAGTCAGGTATAAAAACATTTATTTATTTAAACACAGTTGCTATATTCATTTTATTTAGTTTTTAAGTTAAAACCTATTAGGACATCCTAAAATGACTTTTTTCGTTTGATGTGAGATTAATTATTCTACATTTTTGTTGGTGAAATAGGATATATTAAGATGTCTTACTGTTTTCTCTGATTATCTAAAAAGTTAGAACAATATACAAAGACTGTTATAACAAAAAAGAGATATACCTTTACTTAAACAAACAATTAGTCAGTTCAATTGTACGATAATTTAAAGCAGAAATCCAGAAAACTTTAAAAATGTGTTTAAATGTTTTTTTACTATAACAAGGACATAATTATTAAAAAAACTTGGCACATTAACATTGACGAACTACACAAAATGACATTATTAATAATTTAGCAATAAAAAAGTTAAGTATAATGATGACATTAAAAATTGAGTTTCTCGAAATACTTTTTTTAAATTGTCTCAGTACCTACCTAGTATTTTTCTAGCACAATGATATTATATGAATGTGCATTGGGTGATATCTTATATTTTAGGAATAAAATGATATATTTTTTGCAGGTTTCTGTTAACAACGATTCCAAGAACTTTTGAAAATATTATTAAAACGGCCTTTGCAAATATAATTCTCAATTAAGAGCTTTTGATCTAACATTAAATTTTTATTCTCAATAAGGTTACAGCTTCCTAAGAAGAAAGTTTAACAAGACTTACCAGACCCAAAATATCAAAATTTTACCAACCAATTGATGGTTCACGTGGTTTCCATAGGAAAATTCTCCTCGAAACTACTAAAAGAAAAGTGGCAGAGGCAACCGAAGAAGGCAAAAAAGTCTTTTGCAAAACAAAAACTAGAAGTTTTACCATTAATAATTTTTGATAACCATTTAAGATTATGAAGTTCTATTATGTATTTTACTCTTTGATAACCTATGTTTAAATTTTTATTAGGACCAAAATAAATTATAATTTTCATTTTAACTACAAAAATCCTCATAATGTTAAAAAGGGGAAAAACGTTAGATTAGTTATGTTCAGGAATAAACTCTTTAAACATTTATCTACTTAAAATGTGTTACTTTTAGAAGGTATGTTATTAACTTTCTATTTGTACTTGTATTAATTTATTTCATTTTATTATCTGTTGTATTTTCAAATTGATTTTGATATTAATCTTATCTATTTATATATTTTTTATATTTACATACATGTTTTTTTCGTTGTAACAAACGTTTATTAGCTTATTAAATATAATGAATTCATGTTGTTTTATTATATGCTTGTATGAATGATTACTTTTATTTCCTTTTAAAAATGAATTTCAAAGAAAAAGCCGAAACGGTGAATGAGAATAAAAAATTAGACGAAAGTGACGATATTTACTGGAGCTTTCATCTACACGCTCCTTTTTCTAACCATCTACACCTGAGCCAGCAAGATTCGTCTTCCCTCCATTCTTACATTCTCCAGATTTACAGAGAAAACGCCGTCTTCTTTAACGTATCCAGACCTTTGACGGGGACTATACCACTACATTATCAGCTTTATTTGTTATCCCAAGCAATTTAAATGCATTCGTATTTGCTTATTCTCACCTCTTCTCTTGTAGATTCCGTACTCAGTTTTCTTATTTTTAGTTACATTTGCACTGCTCTTTTATTTTCACAGCTTTAATTCTATAATGCTGTAACGCTACAATATGGATCCATTTTTGTGGTTTATACTATATAATGTTATTCGTAAGTGACCAACCTATTATAATAATTAAAGATTATTGTATTACAGGCCTGAAGATGTTCCTGTAAGGCCGAAACTAGGCGTTCCTGTATTTATTTATAATAAAATTAATTTTAAGGTTTTATTCTTCAGTTGAAAAAATTAGACCTTTACAGTGTTTTTATAGATAAATGATACGCCACTGAACAAGAAGGATGTTTACCTTCCCCCTTGTGCCCGCTTCCTCACTTCCTCTACAGATGTTGCTAACACAACAATCGCCTACAAACTCGTTTTCACGCTCCCTCTATTAGTAATTGCTCGGAGGCGGTATAGCAGACGCCGGACACATACCAGCCCGCAGTAATATTGGAACAACTTGATATTTATTATAAAATAATATGGAATCTGTGATCTGCGTTATTTTTCTGAAATAAAACAAAAATAAAATAAGGTTGTATGGGACGATTTCACCGTTGTGTTAAACGAAGTTTAAATTAAAATTACTAAACAAAAATTTTACATTAACAATGTTTAGTAATTTAAACTTCGTTTAACACAATGGTAGAATCAGCCCTGAGACACCTGTTGTTCGTTCAACAGTGTTTTTATTTTAGTTTTATTTCAAACGGCTCTATCACTGTCTCCCAGTGTCACGGGTGGCTTTCTTAGATAATATCTTTATTAAATGTAGAGCAGCAGTTATATTAGGGCCGATTACACCGTTGTGTTAAACGGAGATTAAAATGACATTGTTAATGTGTGTGGTGTGTACTATTTATCCTTCCTCCATGATGTGTACCGTCACGTTACCGTCGCGTCGGTCCGCAGTCCTCGTCCTGATAAACCATGTGCGGCGTTGCCGATACATTTTTTTTTCTTTAGAAAAAAAGCATAGGCATAACTAATAAATTAGGATTTATTCTTTAAAAACGTACAAAACCAAAATAAACAACATCAGACCATAACAAAAAATTATAGCTACACAACAAAAACAATAAAAAATCATAGCTATATAGGAAACATAACCTGCTTTGGTAAAGTAAAAAATAAATATAAAATTTTTATTAAAAGGATAAGGAACCATTAACGTTTAAAAACAGGAGGTACTTAAGTTTTCTTAAAGTAAGTCGAGTTCGACGCTCGTTAAGAATATTTCCAGCTTTGGAAAACAACCGCTCACAAGGAACCGATGTAGCGAGCGCGCAACACCTTTCTCGCACTAGACGACTTAAGGGCCCTATTCAGTAATTTATCGTTTATGGACGACATCGTTAAGCTAACGACAGTTCAACCAACGACTTTTATAACGATAATTTTTGAAACTCTATTCAATAACAACGTCGTTACGCTGTTTCTAGTTACCAAATCTGAACGATGATTTCTAGTAAGTTGGTATTATAGTTTAGTGTTTTGTAATAAAAGAACGTATGTTGATGATTATACCGGGTGTTTAAATTAAAGTGTTACAGTTAAATACCGCCGAAAATATACATTTTATAAAAAAAAGTTTCAGATAAAAGTTTTATAGTTTTTTGGGGGACACATTTTGACTAAATTAATTTTTTTATAGCTGGTTTTAATATATGGCCATATCGAGGTGGATTTTTTTTTCAAATTTGAACCCTATTTTTTTACATAGGTATTCTCAGAGTTCATAAAAAAATAAGAAACTTCTAAAGGAAACATTTTTTTATTGGACTTCTACTTATTGAGTAACACCTACTTGAAAATTTTGCTGCCCGTAAAAAAAGTTGGCCATTATTATGGTTAGCTATAAAAAAACGATTTCAGCCAAAATGTTTTCTCCAAAAACTATATAACTTTTTTTTTTATATAAAAGGCGGTATTTAACTGTAACACTTTAATTTGAACACCCGGTATATTTGACATTTTTTTGGAACATAAAATAAAAATTCTACCAGTAGATATATTCATTTGTTTTTCAGAATACAACACGATCAGGGGGTCGATTCTCGACTGGTAGGAATTCTGTTTCTTGCGGGCCATTTGCTGGTCGTATTGTATGTAGTGTTTATTTAAATGAGTATGGTTATATTAAAAAAAACGGAACTATTCCAAAAGAATACAAAAAACAACTCGAGAACAGTACGAGTTGTATTTATTGAATTTGAAAGACACAAACCAAATTTGATACTATCAATCCTGCTTCCTGACAACTCAGGCCATTAGCCCCGTTTTCTGTAAAGGTTACGGAGTAGTATTATTGTAATAGGTACTTCCATAATATAGGTTTTATTACTGTTTCGCAGTGCTACTTTAGGAACAGCACTGTTAGTAAGAATTCAATAGTAAATGGTCGAATGGGCAATCCTAACTTTAAATCAGATTTATTTTTAAAATAATTAAATAAATTAGAAAAAAAATTCTTACAAATTGTACTTGCTGTATTAGGTAGATGGCAATTTAGTTGTAAAATTTGTAAAAAAGTGCTTTTATTATTTAGAACACATCCTGGCTCACGATAAAAAATGAGAAATAATGGAAATATCACTATATAACGACACTTCATATTATTAACGACAGCTCTTTGGCTATCGTTGATGAACGACAATTTTACAACCATATTTGTCTATTTTCAACGACAATCGTTGTCTACTGAATAAGAAAAGTTGTCTGTGAACGATTATCGTCTATTAACGACGTCGTTCAGAGTTACTGAATTGGCCCCTAGGTACGGATAGTTGTGTTGATTATTCCGCCACCACTGCAGCGGATTTTTTTTACGGCCCAGCACCTCGTCCTCCACATATCTTTGAACTTCCATAATGGCTCTGGAGTTACCAGTGTGTTTGGGCCTGAAATTTGACACACTCTCGTCAAGCGAGGCCCACAGGGAGTATAATTTAGATTTATTAGCACTACCGTTATTATGCGGGGGTGCCGAAGATGCGATATCGCTTTCTATTGGTGTTTGCGTTTCTAAAATGGTTTCATTAGTTTTATTATTATTATTTATATTTTCAGTTAGCGCGGCAATAACAGTTTTCTTTATTTTTTCAACTGCGTCAATATTTTTAAATCCGAATTCTTTAAAACGGGGATCTAAGAAAGTAGAAATAGCAAGCGTATTGCTATATTCAATATTTCCTAATCTGGAACGAATACCGTTTTGTAAACAGTTTATAATATCTATGCTTAAGATGTTAAAATTGTCGATTAAAAATTTATCACAAACATTAAGAAGACCTCGCGTTAAAACTATAACCAATGATGCCGAAATGTACTGCTCACCACTTACACATTTAGTAGCATTTTCAAACGGTTCAAGTATTAGGCAGAGTTCCTTTAGGATTACCCATTCTTCAGCAGAAAGTGAAGGAAATGCAATATCTAGAAGTCCTATTGTCGACCGTAGGCTCTCTTCTAATTCCACAAATCTTTCCAACATAAAATATGTTGAATTCCAACGTGTTACCACGTCTTGTAAAATTTTTTTGGGTACTGTAATACCATTTTTTTTTTTTTTTGAGTTTCAATAAGTAGATTCATAGCTTTAGAGCTTCTTTTAAAATGGGCAACAATCACTTTAACTTTATTTAAAAGTTCTTGCATTAATTTTAATGAATCTTGAACAATTAAGTTCAGGGTATGTGCAACACATCCGAAGTGCTTCCCCGGACAAGCTCAGCTTTTGGGGTTAAAATTCACTCGTAAGGGGGTGAATTAGGGAGAGTATTATTATTATTATAGTATGGTTAATAATGGCATTTTTAATATTTGCCGCATTATCAGATATAACTCGTATGATTTTATTTTCCAAGTTCCATTTTTTAACAATGTCTTTCAGTTTTTTTGATAAGTTTAGCCCTGTGTAGCTCTCATCGAAAACGTCGCACTCTAAAAGAATTGAACGCATTTCAAACTGCTCATCAATATAATGAGCAGTTACACCAATAAAACTTTCATTGTTTGTGGAAGTCCAACAGTCTGTAGTAATGCACACTTTTAAAATATTTTTTGCTGATTCTTTTGCATCATTTAAGCAGGTTTCATATAGAGCAGGAATTAAACTATTAGAAATTGTTTTTCTGGTAGGAAGTTCATATGAAGGGTTTAATGATTTCACAAACTTTTTAAACCACCTATCTTCGACGATGCTAAATGGCTGATAGTCAAGAGTAAACAATAACAGTAAATTCGAGTCAATATCTTTTTTTGTTTTTGCAGAAAATGTTCTACCTGAAAACGCGGTAATGCGCTCCTGTACGACTATTTTTCGTTTTCTATTTTTGTTAGGGTTTTCAGTAGAAATTACAACCTCAGTCGGATTATTATTATTATTATTATTATTATTATTAATATTATTATACTCTCGTTGATAACTAATTCCACTTGTGCTGGGTTGTGGCGAAGCATTGGCAACCCTGCAATTATTAGCGTCTTTGGCGCCGGCACCTTCAATCTTCACTTCATCGGCTATTTGTTCGTTAGCTTCTTCACTTTCACTTAGATTTAATACAGTTGCAGACCTTTGGGGAATTTGCACAGTAGGATGTCTCCTCTCTAAGTGTTTTCTAAGATTTGTTATAGACGACTTGTAAGACATTTGGGCTTTACACAAGTTACATTTTGCGTTTGTTTCATCAAAAATAGTAAAAAAATTCCAAACAGGACTTGACTTATTTCGCATAGACACACTTCTTATTAAATTACTCATTTTTTACATTTAAATAACTGACAGTTCAAAACTCTGCGTATGCGTAATGAATAACTACGTGTTCTGTGATAACTACTAACTAGAAATAAAAAAAACTGCAAGCCTGTAGGGGTATCCCCGTCTTAAAATCCAATACACAGTTCATACCGCAGTGTTGCCAACCTTGAAGTAAACTTTTTCCCTCTTCTTACCTTAAAAATTCCCACTTTTATGAAAAAATTCCCTCCCGTTAACAAAATCGGCTTTATACCAGAAATACAAGCATGTACATATTTTCAAAAAAATATTTATTAAAAAAAAACGAACATAACAAAGTATAAATTTAAAAAACATAAATCTTTTAACAAAACTTTAAAAATATATTAAAGAATAACAATTTTAATTTTATTTTTAAAATCATACATTTTTCACAATTTGGACTGAAGTAAAAAATACCCGTTTTTAGTTAACTTTTCCCTTTTATGTTGAAAATTTCCGCAAAACGGGAAATTTCCCTAGGGTTGACAACACTGTCATACCGAAATAGTGCATCTCGCTTGTTAAAAAGATGGCACTAAGTTTCCAGCGTCAAATGGCTGGCCGTTCCACTAACTCGATATGGCGGTAAATTCATATTCCACTACTACAGAGACTCCATGCTCGTAAGTCGCAACATACGCGAAATAACAAAGAACAGTTTACATTTTTGGAACAGCTTGGAACTGGAACAGGTTTTTTGAAACAGGTATTTTATGGAACTGAAACAGACTGTACCTGTTATTGAAAAATCACAGTTTTACCCTTCCCTAGTAAAAACTATCACTAGTGTCATATGTCATTCCCCTTGTGTTCGTCTTGAGATTCTAAAAAGAGTGAACTCTGTTCGCCGGAGCGCGTTCAGATGATTTTACACGGGAGTTGACTAATTTTCTTAGATCGTTTGCCCAGACTACTCTAGAGTAATTCTCATTGGCCCAACATTTCTGAACGGCAACGAAAGTAAACGTCAACGAATTTGAAAATTAAAGTTTTTTACAGTTATTTGTTAACAGACATTTTATTCCCTTATATAAGTTTGATGTTCCTCGCTTCTCGTTGTTATTCGTGTTTTGTATAGTTTATATTTTTTTAATATTTATTTTTGTTTAGTTTTTTTCTTTTTATTTCAATATTTACCTATTTACCTATTTATAATCAAGATTAAAATGAATGATCTATAAGGTAAATAAGACAAGAAATTTTAGATTGTTTATTTTAAAACAAACTTAACCTTATAAAATGGTATGTACAAACCATAGATATGCACCTTCATGACACCCAAAAATAATATGAAACAGTAACTTCTGCAAAAGAACTCTACGTTCTGTCAAATTTACTCAAATGTACCCAGTCTAAACTAGGTAAAAAAGAGTGCACTCCAGACTAATTTGACTTGACTTTCTGAACGAGAGTAGCTAAACGTCCAAATTGAACGCTCGACTGTTCTTGAACGAACCAAGACCAAATTGATCACGCTCTTTTTGGTCGGAGCGTGTTTCCTGAACGCGCTCCCGAGTTCCAAACCGAACTTACCCAATCACAAGACAACTAAATGTCAAATGTCACAACATTCTAACTAATGCGCAGACTCAAATCGTCCCCGGCATTTAGGCTATCATAAACGTTTTTCCTTGCCTCCCGGGCAGCCATTTTCCTATCTCCCTCTCTTCATATCTATGGTGCCCCCAGATACTCGCTGATCTCCATCGGCCAACTCGGGGAAGAGCATAGAAAAATAAAAAGGGGAAGAGTGAGTGCGCTCTGAGTCAATGAACTGGAGTGGGGTAGAATGCTTGTCAATAGGTTTGAGATGCGACTCTATGGGCAAAGACAGGTTATTTTTCATCTCACTCGGGAGTATTTATAACAACCATTTTTTATTTCACTTTGTTATTGTCTGATCCACCAGCATGTGGATTGAACAATAACAATGTGAAACAGAAAATGGTTATTATAAATACTCCCGAGTGAGATGAGAAATAAAAATGGCTGCGCCCATAGAGTCGCATCTTGTTCTATTAATACAATATGCACGTTGGCTTTCTACCCCACTCCAGTTCATTGCTCTGAGTACGTGATCTGTGGCAAGCCCAATGAACTGGAGGGGGGTAGAATGCCAATGTACATGTTGTACTATTAGAACAAGGTGCGACTCGATGGGCACAGCCATTTTTATTGTGTATCTCACTCGGGACTATTTATAATAACCATTTTCTGTTTCACATTGTTATTGTTCAATCCACTAGAGGTGAGTTCGGACTACGCACTCCAGAGTGGAGTGGAGTAATTAGGCGTAAACGGAGTGCGAATATGATTTTACTCCTTTAACTCTCGGAGTGCAATGTCAGTTGTCAAGGTGACATACCAGTACTTAAAATTTAATCGTACTTATCAGTAACGACCGTATAAGTTTCTTCCATATTAATGATATTCACGAGAACCAAAAAAAAACTTATTTACTAAAGAATCAGTCACAATTAACTTATTATCGATTTAAATCACCTTATGCGCATGCCCGATCCACACTCCACTCCACCATCTCCGAACGGTCAAAGAGGAACTTTTATTTTAACTCCTTCCGTACCCGAACGCCTTAGGTACTTTAGGAGTGAATATAGTGAAAAGAGTGCGTAGACCGAACTCACCAAAGCTGGTGGATCAGACAATAACAATGTGAAATAGAAAATGGTTATTTTAAATACTCCCGAGTGAGATGAAAAATAACCTATCTTCGCCCATAGAGTCGCACATCAAGTCTATTGACAAGCATTCTACCCCACTCCAGTTCATTGGGCAAGCCGAACACAAAAGAGTACGCTGTGAGTGCTAAGGCGACCACAATCGAGGCATACCGAGTGCACTCTGGGTACAGCGAACGCCAAACCGAACTTAGCCTATGTGTCAGATTAGGGTTTCCGATCTCGGCAAGAAAGATCGATTCTTAGTATCGATCCAAATGGTGGAGCCAAAGATCGATACAAGAAAAATCGGGAGGAAAAAATATCGATCTCGTAAAGATCGAAGATCGATTCTTTTTATGTAAAATATAAAATTAAATTTAATTAATAAAAAATAGACAAAAAATTTAATCTTTATTTTAAATATAAACATTGTTTGGAACTTAAAATTGTTAATATTCAAATTCTAAGATTTAAAACTATTCAAAAATACGAGTTTATTTGACATTTTTCCACTTTTTCTATCAGGAGTCATCAGATTTCCTGTTCGAAAAAATAGTCTCTCGGATGGAATTGATGTTCCTAACACACATAAAGACTTTTGAGCAACTTTGTTTAAATTGTTGAAAGGAATTTGACTATATATGCCAATATTTAATAGGATCTGTTGTTTTCAGATTCGAAAGAGGTTCATTCAGGTAACATTTCCGCTTTACGAGAATACTCAAATATCCACAAAACACTCTCACATTACTCAAAACGGCGATAACGATCAGTGAATTTATTCTTTTGACGTTTATGGTAACCACAAAATACTCGAAAAGTACATGTAAGAGGTGGGCTAGAATCGATCTCCGATCTCAGTACTTTCCATCGATATATAGATCGATCTCTATTTTGAAAAATCGATCCTAAAAAATCGAAATCGTGAAACAAAAGATCGATTCTCGATAAGATCGTATCGAGATCGGAAACCCTATGTCAGATGTCATACGCCAAAATATTTCTTGTGTTTATGTTGTTTGTTGTTTTTAT